ATGAAGACAAGGAAAGCTGAGAGAATCAAGAGGCTAAAATATGAGATAAGACGTTTCAGTCCATTAAGTTGTGAACGTCATAGTGTGAATATCACAGCAGTTAACTTTTTTTTTCATTGAATAATTGGTGCTAGTCAAGTTCATTTTCACTTTATCTCTAGGCCAGCTTCAACCTTTTTTCTGCCCTTCTCTGCTCATCTATTGCATAATTATAATCGCCAGTGAATAATAATCATCTGTATCTCTGGAAAAAAAATGCTAAAAAAGATGAAATCGAGCTCACTCCTGACTCAAGATTCCAGGTTTTTTCAGAATTTGCAGAAAAAAGAAAAAAGGACGGGTTCACTCATGATTTCCCCGAAAATTGATAAGAATTTAGGATTACGCATCGGTCAAAATTTTCAGTCCACTTTGTTAATTTTTTTGGGTAAAAGTAGGATGTGAGTTTCGTATGAAACTCACAGATTAACCTTTCCTGGCCCATTTTTTTTTCGACGTCCAGTTGTTTTTGCTTAAACAGGACGGGGGTTCGGAAAAATTTGCAAGGAAGTCTGAGATTCTGTCGAGTTTCTGGGTCGGAGAGTTAATCGAAATTCTGGACTAAATCTGACAAATTTGGCGTTTCCTGGATCGTTTTAACATGAATACCAAGATGTAGAATTTCGATGAATATACCGTTGGACAGATCACGAAGCAATCCAAATTTTTCATCTCCTGACCAATTTGACCGTTTTCTTGATGATTTTAACACCTCCTAACTTAGAGATACAGCGTCCTTTGGCGCACTTGTTTTTTGCCCACTTTTAAAAGCTCTGTACAAGAAACGTGAATTTCTTCCAAGTAATTTATCTTATTTGCTCAGTTTGATAATTCTAGTGCAAATTAAACTGATTTTCCATGCCTGTTTCTTCCATGAGTTTCACCTCTGCTTGTCCTCTAATGCCATTGGCCTGCTTCACTTCCGACAAAGACAGATGAAGTGATGGGTAAATCAGTTTTGGTACTCCCCCCATCACATATGAGTCTTTTTCCCCTTTCCCTGCTCTTTCTGTCCCTCCTTCCCCTCAATTCTAACATGGTTTTAATGTTCTGACGAAAAATTAGCTTTCCTGGATTTCCGCATCCTACGTTTTTTGCGATTCGTTGCTGTGTCTTCCATCATTTGGTTGACCCCTGATTCTT